AGAGAGGGAGAGAGTGAAGAAGGAGAGTGAAGCTGTAGAGAGGAAAAGCGAAAACATCTGGATTATTTACCAAGAAACAAACAAACAAACGTCCGCGTGGCAGTGAGATATACCGCACAGAGCTGACAGGAGTTGTCCTTGGAGATACTGGAGAGACACAGCGACTGACCGCCCTGAACAACACTCACTCTGTCTCTATCTGAAAGAAAAGGCGGCTGAAGACAGACCCGACCCCTCTCCGCTCACAGTCCGCCGCTCGTCGTTTCCTCTGCTGACCGGTGTTTGCACCGGCTCATCTCCATGTATAAGATGGATTACTCCTACCTGAACTCCTATGACTCCTGCATGGCGGCCATGGAAGCGTCGGCCTACGCGGACTTCAGCTCGTGCAGCCAGGCCAGCTCCTTCCAGTACAACCCGATCCGGAGCGGACCCTTCTCCAACCCGGGCTGCACCCCGCTCAGCACGGCCAGCTGCACCCTGGGAGCCCTGCGAGAGCACCAGCCCACACCGTACTCCTCAGGTACCCGAGCCTCCGTTTGATTCCGCTCAGGGTAGAAAGGTTATAGAAGGAGGGAATCAGGCTAATTCGGATCTCTATAGACCATTCATAATAATCATCAAAATAATAATAATAATAATTGTATTTCGTCTCCTGCGTGAGCTGCGCAGCTTCTATCGATAACTTATACATAAAAACATAAAAACATGGGAAACATAATATAATTAGGCTCATTATCAGCTGTGTTTTTATGTTATAAATAGTTTAACCATGTACAGTTTGAGGCCTAAATTGTTTGACATTTGTATCTTAACTCCTGATTTAGAATAACATTCAATTCTAAATTAATTTATGGAGAAAGACATTTGCTAAATCAGTGTTATAATTTACATTTTAATATTATTAAATGTTTTGATGATGAAGTTAAGTGAATTTTAAAGGTGAAACAATGAATTTCTATACTAATGTAGACAATAGACTATATATGCACGCGTCAATCTAATTAATAAAAGGACTGTTATATATGCTTATAATAATAATAACAATAATAATAATATAAAAATAATAATGAATTAAAATAATGATAAATAGTCTCAACAAAATCAAAAGTTTTGACAGCTTGAAATCGAACATCAAACTTGATGAAATTAACCACACACCACACAAACCTGACTTGGTGGTGGACTATCCTTATTTGCCTGCATTTTTATTGTCATATACATATATCCTAAAGTAAAATTTAAATTCAGTATCAATTCTATTCTTTTTATTTTCTTAAAGCAGCGGCTTTATTGGACTTTCTGTGGATTTCGACACACATTTATTTAAACGCTCTCTTTATGTATAGCGACAAAAGCCGCGACCTAACCAAACCAAAATAATCAAAATAATAATTCATTTTTTTGCAAACATAATTCTGCTGGACGAAAAATGTAGGCTTAACCTTTATTGTTAAACAGTTTATAAATTCACTAAATAAAAAAGCCCAATTAAGCCTGTAATTAATGTGAGTAAGACTAAATAGTTTTTCTTCACTGTAATACAACACACACACATACATATATAAATACATATATCTGTCAACGTTATAAAACACAAACGATTTAAATAAAATAAAAAAATAGAAAAAGTCTAAATGAACTAGCTCTGAATGCACTGCACTGAATGTCTCCTTTAAACACTGTTATTACTGTGGCCTTTCAGCCTCCGGCCTGCTGTACAATCTCACACTGTTCAGCTTTGCTTTCTAGACTCCATGCTCAGTTTTGATTGGCCCTGAGCTCAATGCAATCAATGCATCCGCCAATTAATGCGCTGTCCACTAACCGTCGGCGGACAAAGGGTCTCTTGTTGCTCGACGAAAAGCAGCTGATTATCGTTCATCGAAGATTTCCCGAAAACCTCGTTTATTTTAAAACATGTTACGTTGTGTACGCACGCTCTCTCCGCGTCTTCACCGCTTCTGATCCGCGTGGCCTTTTCGGGTTTAAAGCCTCAGTCCATTTGAATCGAAATATCGCTTATCGACCACTAAACGGATACCATTTCTCCCCCTCAGTCCCGTACAAGTTTTTCTCGGACCCCTCCGGCCTGAACGAGAAGAGGAAGCAGCGGCGCATCAGGACCACCTTCACCAGCTCCCAGCTGAAGGAGCTGGAGCGGGTCTTTGCCGAGACTCACTATCCGGACATCTACACCCGGGAGGAGCTGGCGCTGAAGATAGACCTGACCGAGGCCCGGGTACAGGTGAGAGGAACAGGCTTCTTCTGCTACAGTGTCTGACCTCACCTCTATCTATCTATCTATCTATCTAATCTATCTATCTATCTATCTGTCTATCTGTCTCATATATTAATCTGACCTCTGTCTGTGTTTAACAGGTGTGGTTTCAGAACAGGCGTGCCAAGTTTCGCAAGCAGGAGCGCGCAGCCAACGCCAAAGCCAACAGCTCTGGTGGCACCTCGGGCAGCACCAGCAGCAGCAGCTCTGGAGGGAAGAAGGGCGGAGAGCCCAGATCTTCATCAGATGATGACGAGTCCAAAGAATCCACCTGTAGCCCCACACCTGACAGCACGGCCTCCCTGCCCGGCTCGGCCAACGGAAACTTGGGCAGCCCCGCCAGCCTGAGCCCCAGCCCGGCTCCTGCCAACAGCGGCTACGCCAACGCCTCCAGCTCTCCGGTTCTCCAGGGGCTGAAGCCGCCCAGCTGGTCCAGCCTGGGGCCGTCCAACCCGGCCGTGGCCCAGCCTGCCGTCCAGACTCAGGAGATTCTGAAGGCCTGGCAGCCGGCGGACAGTATGACCGGGCCCTTTGCCGGAGTCCTGTCCTCCTTCCACAGAAAACCCAACCCCGGCATCAAGACGAACCTGTTCTGAAGCACAGAGGAAGAGAGGGTGACAGACAGACATTGCGTGGTGTCCTGGAACCGCGAGGAGTTTCCAGCTTTTGTTGAGAGAGTCAGGACTTGCCCGTTGTACCGCTGAACTCACTGGTGTAGTCTGCTGTGGTTCAGCGAGGCCCTCGGTTCCCCTTCTAAAAGACCATCCAAACTCAAAGCTCAGATAAGAATAAGCCGGTCACCATCTCTCACCCCAAAATATTATGCAACTGCAAAACTCTTCGCGTTCCCCCTCAGATCAGAGCCGTTCACACAGTTTGACAAGAAACCCCTCTTCCTCAGATTAAACAGACGCAGCGTAGTCTTCATGTACAGGCCCTCACACTCCACACCGTCAGACAGCACTAACTGCTAAACACATCAGATATGCATACACACATCCATACACACACTCTGTTGTCCGTGTTTTCTTGCACACGTAGACTCACATTCCCACACTCACTGCCGTTCCAACAAACCCCGCAGTGGGTCTGATGAGCATGGCGGTCAGGTACGAGGTTAAAGCAGAAAACTAAACATCACGCTGCGGTCTCTGCTGAAAACAAAACAAACTTTTACCCTCAAGCACAACTTCCTCTAAGCCCCCTGACACACACACACACACACACGCACACACACACACAGGCTCCCACCAGAAGGGAACCGGGTCCCCCTTAAATCTCTTTGCCGAGCAGAGCAGAGCTCCCCAAAATCCAATTAGAGCAGCCGGGTCCAGACCAGACACCAGTTCATCCCCTCCTCCTTCTTTACTGTATCAAGTCCTGACTCCCCCACTCTCATCCTCAACGTGACCCTCAACCCCCTCAACCCCTCCAGGCTTTATGGTCCCATCCCTTCACTCTCTCTCTGTCCCATCATGCCTTTCTCCATCAAACAGTGGGCACTTTGTTAAAGTTCAGCAAGGGAAAGAGACGGAGATCTGCAGTTTCCTGCCCTGTTCTTTGGGTGGAGAGGTGAAGAGTTCTACACAGAGCAGCAGAGTGTAACCTACAAATCTGTCAATCTAATTATAACTGACTTGTGCTGTTGGTATCATGGTACTATGACCAGTTTCTCTCTTTGGTCACAGACTGAAGTTGTTTTTTGATGATTTCTCCTGCTGGATTAATGGGAAGGAATGAGTTTGTTCAGCAGTGCTTCAGTCTGCGGTTTGAACTCTTGCGGACTTATAACTCATCGCCCGCTCCGACTCTTTTAAGTTTCATTAACTCTGCCGCAGTCGACAAATATGGGACGATCTCTCCCAGAAATGCAACACAAGCTGGTCAAAATGTTGGCAATATAGAGAGACATGCAGACAGTTGCTGAGTTTTCTACTGTATGTCCATTAATACCGATTTTGCCCTTTTGTTGTTTTTTTGCTAAAAAGCAGACGTCTGTATGTTTTTCCACCATGCCAAGTATGTGTATCATCCCCATTTTATTTTGTTGCAAATCACTGAAACACGATTGATTTCAGAGATAATTTTTTATTTTATTTTTTTGGGGGGGAGGGTTTATCCAGAAATCTACTCAAAAAGGTGAAAAAAAACATGTATTTATTAATATTCTTTATTATGTCAGTGAGAAAAAACCCCCACAAATTTCTTTGAACTGCTCCATGAAATTTTGTGACTGTAAATTCCGTAATTAGTAATATAAATATTAGGTAGCCTTTTGTTTATTCCTCTCATGTTGCTTTACAGATTTATTTCATTGCAGAGCATCTGTCTCACAGACCAACACGTCCACGAAAACTATGAATCGACAGAAGCTCTAGTGAATGAGAAGTTATAGCACTACTCTGAATATTCTAATAAATCTACATTATGGAAGCACTATGTGACGAGTTCAATGATCTGGTTTTTTGTGCGTGATGAGAGTTGTTGTGTGTTATGTGCATAGTCGGACCTCAGAAAGTTGTTTTCAAGGACTTTGAGGTAAAAGCTCCTTAAAATTATGGTAAAATAAAAAACCTAAATGAGTGTCACTTATTTTAGTTTTACCGTACGCTTTTTCCCTTTTCTCTAAAACGTGGCACGTCTACAGCTCACGGACCGTAACTCTTTCATCCTTTCCCTGCAGATGACAAAAAAAAAAATAAGGAAATGAGTGAATCTATATAATAAGGAAAGATATTAGATTTTAATTGAAAAAAATGACATGAGTGAACAACTTACATTAACTTAACATAGCCAAAAAAAAGGAGACTACATGAAAAGAACAAGATAACATGGAGTGTGTCAGAGAAAACAACGATGGCAGTCTCTTTTTCACTCATACACACACACACACACACACACCAATACAAACACACACACACACACGCACACATAACGAGAACAATGGAAGGCCAAAAAGACATCAGATTGAACGTGTTGTCTGAACGGCAATATTCTCTGCATTATGGTTGTTAAAGGTTAAACACATAGTACAGCACATAACGCAGGCGAGTAGCTGAGTCTAAGAAGGTTGTACAGGAGCAACATAATGGTTTTACAAAGAAAACTAGGAGAGGAAAAAGGGGGAATCCTTTTCAGACATGACAAATAAAATGAAACTGCTACAATCACATCTTCAAAGGTTTCATCATATTTAGTCCCAATTATGCAACAGCACATTCATTTACAGGTTAGAGTTCTACTTTCGAGGCCTTCCCGTGATAAGCCGACATCACAAAAATATGTTTCACATCATATTGTTGTGGCCAAAGCAAGCTGTGCGCTTAACTGGAGAGATAGTTCGGTGTGATCCACCTGGGTAAAGTAAAAGGTGTCAGCGTCTCTTAAATTGGTTTGGCTTCTAGTCTCGTAGGCAGGATTTAAATTAAGAACAGATAAAGGCGGACTGAACACTAACAGGTAAGTTAACTCTCATTTTTAAAACAACATATAAAAAAACCATTGAGTAGAACTATAAAGTATAACTCCTTTCACTAAACAGGACTTAGCTGTGTCTCATTTTCCCCAAAGTTTCCCCAGACAGCATCAACTGACAAGGTTTATGGAGTAGCAGCACCACCTGCTGGTTAAATGAAGGAACAACGGCCCTCAAACTATCCTGTGTCCTGCAGAGAACTGACTTTTCTGTTTTTAATGTATCACGACTGGTGACATCTTCTCCCACAAGGCAATGTCTCTAGTAATGTAACAAAAAGAACCAAATAAAATCAGCAATATGAGACAAATCTCTCGACTATGTTACAGGAAAAAAAATGTTTTGGTGACAAATGGTTTCTCCAAGACGTTGACAGTATGACGGCGTAGTAAATCTTCAGTAGAATAACCATTAGCTCATCTTTTTCAACTATGTTAACCAAATCCATGAACGCTGCTGCATTTACACAATTCAAAATGAAGATGTGACCCCACAAACCTGGGTCATGTGACGCTAACATAAGATTTGTCTGCTTCCGCAAATTGAAATTGAGATGTCCTCACAGACAATAAAAGTGTGACAATGGCCAATCGCCTGCCTTAAATGTTTAAAGTGATACTTCACGTCAGTTGCAGCATTTATTGCCTCACGTATACTTGTGATTTCATTTTCTACCAAAAAGGGACTCCCTGCCCAGAGTCAGTACGCTACATGTGTCACAATGTTTGTATAAACACACCGAGGGCAGGTGATGTCCAACACTGTCAGTTAAATGTTGTACCAATGTGAAATATGCACTTTTAGCTCTAGCAGGACTGGTTTGGTTGGTTTGCTCCATATTCCCTTTATCATAAAACAACATAAAACCATAAATACATGACACTGAGACAATAAATGCTACCAGTGGCTCAGACGTCATCACGAAAGTATAAAATTTGAGAAATGCGAGTTGAGCTCACTTCAGACTTAGCTTCTCTACTGTCACCACTTCCTGTCCGCCTCCATCACAGAAGCAAGGGGGTTACAGTGCCCGAGCTGTGTGGTACTCTTGAGTGTGCTTTAACAGTTCCCACATAGTTTTCGAAATGTGACCATTAGTGGGAGACTCAGAGAAAAACACACTGTTGTTAAAAGAGTGTGTTTTCATGGCTCTGGTTACCCACAAAAAGCCCTCTTCTCATTTTGCTTTAAACTTGAAATTCTGCAGTTTCCCATTTCAGAGAAGTCTTAAACTCTGTCGCTCCTCCGTTAAGGTTTCTCAGGACAAAGAAAGGAAAACAAGCTTTAACGCTAGCTTGAAGCAGTAGGTCATAACTGATGGCACGACACACACGACACGACATCAAGGCATCAGCTGCTCCACACGTGAGTCGGATCTCTAATTCTGTCTGGCCAGAAAAACAACATTATCTCATCCTGCATCTTCTCTCTAGGTTTAAAGCCGACGGTCATGTAGTGATGCTTGAAGGACTGAAATGATTCTCATTAAATAAGGCCACCTCTACGACAACGACAACACACATACAGTACATGTTAAAAAAAAAAGGATGGTGGTTCAACAAGTGTTTTTTTTTTTTGTAAAGTACAAATGGAGTGCAATTTCTCTCAGAAGGCACAGTCTGGCATCCGTTAGCATGTTCCAGCTCAGTTCAGTTCAGTTCAGCTGAGATTTGTCCTCTTGGGACCTGGTGAGGCACCAGGCCAGTTTGGACCAGTCATAGACCAGTTCGGTACAGTTTATTTCTGTTGCTGCTGCGGTTGCTGCTGCCTGAGGCTTTCCAGCAGGATTCGCTTGTGGGCGGGGTCGAGCACTCCCGCCTCCTCGAGGTCCTCCTCGGTGATGTCGCTGGAAAAAAAACAATACAAGATGTGAGAAACGTCTTTCAAACCTCAACCTAATGCATGCAACAGAGCATGAACGTCAACGTGTCTGAGTGTGTGAGTGTGTGCACCTGAGGAACTCCAGGTCGTCCCAGCCGTTGTGTAGAAGGCCCCGCTCATACCTCTCCAGTCCCAGTCTCTGCAGCCACTCCCCCACTGAAGACTCCCCAACAGACAGAGACGAGCTGCTGCTGCCCCACAGTGCCTGCACAGGGGAAGTGAAACACAGGATCAAATACAAACGGCTGTAGGAAAATCTTGACACAGCTGCCTCAGAACACATGCCAAAAATGTTTCTTCATCTTTTTTAACCCCAAGAAGGAAGCAAAAAAAAAGTTATAAGATTTTACTACAGGATCTACATTTCTTTTACGAAATCTTTACGTAAAAAGTAGCTTACTCACGTCCAAGTTGAAGACAGCTTCAGTCAGACAGACAGTTTGTAAAATAAAGCATCACAAAAACTAGGGTGGCCTAAAAGAAACTAACCATGTAAATCCCCCAAAACAGCTACCAAAGCATGTACGATTGCAGCCACTGAACTGAATTTAACTGATCTGCTCACCTCCTCAGGCATGTCCTCTGCGATACTCTCTGGGATGGGATTTCTGGGTGGGAAGGTGCGGGAGGCCTCTAGACCTATCCCCATTGGCTGCCCCCTAAGAGGCGGCGCAGATGGAGCGCGTGGAGGCTGCCCAGGAAACTCACTCTCACTCAGTGTCTTTGCCATCTGAAGCACAGAACACGACTGGTCGTCCAAAGCCCCCGGTCCAACACCTCCTCCTCCTCCTCCTCCTCTTCTAAAACCTTCTCCGAGGGCCAGCGGAGGGGCGGGACTTGCTGCTGGGATCCTGACCTCAGCTAGGTCTGGGTAAAGAGGGCGAGATTTGGGGAAGGGGCTCTCTGCAACCATCTCCAGGGCTCCCTTAGGGAGAGGAGGAGGGGGGAAGTCGGGAGGGGGTCGGTTCAGTGTGCTTCCAACTGTTGTTCCGGCAGCACCCCCCTGCGCTCCTGCTGCACAGGTGCCTCCATCGTCCTCGGAGGAGCCCTCCTCACTAATAGCTCGAACCGGGTGCCCCGTCATAGGCCTGCGTGAGTGAGAGTGCCCTGAGCCCACGTAAGAGGGTTTGGTTCGAGCTCCGGCTGAGGGGGCAGGGGCTTTAGCTACCTGGGGGTTTGTAGACGTAGGAGATGGGAGAAGCTCAGGTGAGAGTGCAGCTGCTGATTGGTTGGGAACACCCTCCAGGATGTAGTAGGCGGGATTATTGTAGCTGTTCTTGCTGATGGATGGATCACCGTCTGGTGCGTCCTGTTTCGGACTTCACAATACACACAAAGAGAACAGGTGGTTGATGGCTTATCTTTTTATGATTCATGGGTAACATAAAAATGTTTAGGGGGTGTGATTTTTGTGTGGTTGTTTGCTGGTCACTGTGTGTACACGTGTGTGAATTTGTACCGTGCAGCCGTTTCCTCCTTGCTGCTCCTTTCTCCCTCCTCGCTGACCTTTCCCAGCTCTCCAAGCTGTTTACGCACCACAGATGGCCTGCATCGAGAACACACAGAACAAAACTGATAATTCACAAAGGTGTCTGTGTGCACATCCTTGGTGCTTTGTGCAGGATATCAGATTTAATAAAAGTAAAGACGCATCTTCACACTAGATTAAAACTCCCAAAACTTAAAAGGAACAGTATGTAGGATTTAGAGTAGAGTGTACTGACTTGACGTATTCATGTCCCACTCTGGATACCAAAGTGGATTTCCCTTTAGGCCCGCCTGTCTCATCCTTGTCCACACTGATCCACTCTGAAATACAACAATAAACATAGTAAAATTAAACATGAGACAGTTACAAAATGTCCTATATCAAACCACATCCTTTGGACAATTCACGTCTGCACATTCCTAAAGATTAAAAGTCCTTTCATTTGTCCTCACTACTTGATTACATCTTCCCTCTTTACTGGTCAGATATACTCTCTCACTTTAAAAAGAATTGGTGTCTGTTTGCACTTAACACCAGACTATCACCACACAGTTACATATACAGTGTGTTACCATAGAGTCTCTCCCTGGTTCCCATCCTTTCAGACGGGACTCTGACCCTCATGGACCCCCTGATATTTCCTGTTTCCTCGCCGCGGTGGGACAGGTAGGTGTGGAACTGCTGTGCTGTGCTGCCAATCATAGACTTCAGAGCCAAAACACACTCTCCTAGCAGGGGAAAAACAACAACAACACACACATGTGGTTGTTTGTCAGACTAAAAAAAAAAAAACAAACTACTTGAAAGGAATGCAAAGCCACAGCACAAACATCAACCCTCCTCTTTATACCGTAGGACTCGTATCCATCCAGTGACTTCACGGTTAGCAGCAGATGTTGGTCCTGCAGGTACTCGATCTCCGAGAGAAGAGGTTTGAGCGTCGTTAGCTGCTTGTTGGACCAGCCCACACGCAGGAAGTTGACGTTGTCGCTGCTCTGACTGTCGTTCTCATAGCTCTTCTTAAACTCTACAGATGAGAGACAGAGAGAGAAATGCGGGGCAAAGTGCATGGGAGAGAGGACAAAAAGGGGAACGAGGCAGGAAGGAGAGGTGGAAAGAAAAGGAGGGAGATGTTTCTATTGCATTTCATTCAAAAATACATGGTGGGCAGGAGGTGCGGATGCAGCACAGGTCAAACATGGATTCTAACTTAAAGGTATACTGACTGCCTGAGATAGGGAGGGAGGGAGAAAGATGCAAAAAGAAGAAACAGATACAATTTTATTACATCCATTACATCCACCCTGTCTGCGCTGTAACTCCTGGTGGATTTTGGTGGATGTTCAGCTCACCTTCCAGACAAGTGGAGTAGAATTCAATGAAGAACTTGGTTCTGCTCGCTGTTTTCACTATGGCCTCAATGCTCTCAAACTCAATGTAGGCCTGCTCTGAAGACTTTGGCAGACCTACACAGAAACAGGTGGACGGGAGGGATGGGGGGTGGAGGAAGTGAAGGGTGGAAAGAGAGAATGATCTGAGTAGGTGGCCCCGAATAGCACAGGACAGAAACAGAATTAGTCATAAATGTTACATTTTGTAATGTATGAATGAATATGGAGAATGAATAACTGTATTTTCCACCAGTGTTCAGCTGTGAGTCATTGACCAGACTACAAGAATATATCACAAACTGTCTGGAAAACAAACAAATCATCATGAAGTTCTAAAAACGTGCACAGAGTCCGCCCTATTTTGAGAATCAGTCATCATGGCAAAATGTTGTAGTCTATATGCAGCTTGTGTACGAGCAAGAACAGAAAGACGAGACAGAGTAAAGCCAGGAGGAAGAGCGATTGACAGGAAGAGGAAATAAACAAAACGGAACCAAGAAAAGTCATTTTCTTGTGATTTTAAGGTTTTGTACCTTTCTTGGAGACAAACTGGGAGGTCACCCCCACCTCAAAGGTAGCAAACACAGGGGAATGATCGCTGGTCACTATATCATCTGTACAGCCTGAAAAACAAACAGCATATAAAGCACGTAAGTCTCCTTGTTGATCAATCACATTAATTGCTGTATGAGCCATTTACAGAAGAAAGTCCTCTGTTACACCGATTTGAAACAAATGTGTGTTGAATGATTCTCTGCTGACAGACTCACCATAGGAGTTGCAGACAATGTGTGTTTCTGGGTACGACTTCCACAGGATCCTGTCACACCAGGACGGAACATTAGTCCTCATCTGGGACAGACAGAAAAGTAAAAGACACAGCAGTATTATCATGACGACTCACAAGAGGAAATAAAGTATTTGTCTGAAATGGCTGGGAGGAAGTCTATCCCTGATGTTGTTTGAGTTAAGGAAACGTACCCCTGTGGCCTTCTGCTTCTGCCAGACATATGTGTCTCTTGAGCCACGTTCATACCGGTAGGTGGGTGGGAATGAGATCTCTTCCTCAGCTGCAAGCAAGCAGACACACATTCACCTGTTAAAACTTGTGGCAAGTAAGTGTAAAGGCGCAAAGCGTAGCATTTTATAATATCAATAACTCTAATTGAGACATGTATTAGAGACAACACCACATTAGAGTTAGATCAATAGAATGAACACACTTTGTGTAAGCAGAGGTGACCAACTGTTTGTATAAAACATGAAAATACAGTGCGGCTATTTGCTGCTTGTGTTGACACATTTACAGAATTAGTGATACACGGTGGCTGAAGAGAGCAATTCCCCCTGTCAGCAGGTTGTATTTCAAGTAAATCTCATCTGATGTGAGGGTAAGAATTCTCACAGTTGAGAGACTGAAAGGCTGGTTTCGTTTTCCCAACATTAATCTTTCTTTAGTGAAGAAAAAAAAAAAAACCACACACAGGGAGGAAGAGTGTGGACAAGTAGCCACATCCTGTGCAAATGGTGTTAATGACAAATGTTACTTTTGAGAAACATTAGCCTAAACAATACAGGTTATATGAGACAGAAACTAAGGAGATAAGATATTCTGAAAGATTATACAGAGCTATTTTGATAATCTTTCAAAAAATATTTCTGTGTTTTTTATCATATGGTCTTCCCCTCCTTAAAATCCTCATGTTTACATATGATGACATTTCTTTTCTTTTTTTTATTATTATTAGTTCTTGGAAAAACTTTGGTAGTGATGTAACTGAGAAAGCCAACAGTCTTGCTAGCTCAACAGCAGTGGTGATTATAGGAAGTGTCAGCTATTACTTTTGTTGTGTTGCCATTGAAACGTGTGTTTTAAGTAAAGTAACCTTATGTTAATGTAAAACAAAGCCTGCTCTTACAAATGAACACCTCAGGAAGATCTCTCCCATTGTGCACAGGGAGAGGAGGTAAACAGCAGTTAGACAGAAGTCTGGTAGAAACACAGACGTACTAACCGAAGCGTAAAAAGACTTTGTTCTTCTCTCTCTCCAGGTTGAGCTGGTCCACCTTCAGCAGGGGGTCAAACTCCTTCCTGTTAATGTAGTTTAAAATCTCCTGCACAGAGACACAAACAAAACAGGACCACAAAATAAAGCATCATCCAAATCTGCTATGTTTAATCATTCTGTTTATGTCTGCCTGTGTGTGTGTGTGTGTGTGTGTGTTCTGCTTTACCTGTATGTCCATATCCAGCCTGTAGTTGAGGTCTCCCAGCCAGAAGAGGTGTGTGAAGCGCAGTGAGATGTCGAAGGAGCTCAACTGTTTGTCTCCTAATGACAGCAGGCGTAGGATATCTAGGTAGTTCTGGTTCCTCCTGTATGCGTGACAGTTCACATGTATCACAGGTAATAAGAGGTAAAC